CAAATAAAGAAATTTAATGCTTCTTGATAGTGATATAGAACTTTCAGAACTTCTCTCACAATCTGCTTGTAAAGTTAGTGTTGTAATAATTCTGCAGTTTATTATTATTGATTCCCTGAAATTCCGAGCGGAACATAAGGCATCAACGGCACATCTCAGTTTCTTCCTATTCTCTGCGGTCCTCTTCATCTAGCCTCAGAATTGCCTATAGTCTTTCTTCTCGTCGCTGCACAGTCTCCTCTATGTCACCCCCGAATCAAAAAAATAAATCGTCGTTTTTCATTTAGGTTCTACCAGATTGGTTGCTGCTCGATTTCATCCAACGGTCTCCTCACCTTGTATCCTGTCTATCCCCATTTTCTTCCACATAATTTTCGAGTAGCAGGTAATTGAGTAGTTCGTACCTGGAGTTCCTTGTTGCCAATTCTTTCTGCTCATTTGATCTTAAATGCGGAGCAAGTGAATACGGTTTGTGATAAAAGTCTGCAGCAGGTTGATGGAAATGCTTTTCGTGACGACCATGCCAAGTTTCTGACTCATATAAAAGAACCGGCTGATTTAACATGAGTGTTGAAAATCCGACCTTTTTTTCTTTATGGTGAGTGTGTGAGATTTTCAAACTGATTTCAGAGTGGTGAAGATGTGTCTTACCTTCCTAATTCTAACTGGTTTTGACATCCTCATCCATGCCATTGCCTGAAGTTAAAACCATGCTTCCTAGATAGGTGAAGGAAGTGACCACTCTGACTTTTCGTCCTTTGTTAGTGATTGGTGCTGGTTGTTGCTAGTTGCCTTTTTTTACACTTTATGAAGATCTCGTCCAGCTTTCAAATGTTTTGTTGGTGTTGACTAGCAGTGGGATTCAAGATTAGTGGAACTCATCAGGTGAATATACCTGCAGACGCGATGAGTGATGTTGTTCACACTGAGAACTGAAGCCAGCGCTCATCATTTTAGATATCAAACATTTTGTATTGCCAGTCAATTGATTTGTAATGAACCGAAGTACTTACTTTCTGTTGACGTGTCAACTGTTAGTGTGGACATTATAATTAAGGTTTTTGTATTTCCCAATGAATGAAAAACAAAACGATATTGTTTTTACTGAGAGTAAGTAAAGATACATAAACCCACAATTCCATTAAGACCAGTAATAGATTTCACCAACTCACCAACATACAACCTCTCTAAATACTTACTCTCAGCACTACAACCACTACAAAAGGACACTCAAAATATTGTAAAAAAAATCATATGATTTCAAATCCCAAATAGAACACCGAAAAGTTGATAAAGAAGACATTATGGTAAGCTATGATATTAACTCATTATATACTAGTACCCCTATTACTGAAAGTCTTGATATCATCTCCAGTCTACTAGAATCAGATACAACGCTATGACAAAGATGTCCACTGGACACCAAAGAAATAATTAGGAGCTTGAAATTCTGTCTAGAAAGTAATTATTTTACATTTAAAGGGGATTTATATAGAGAGAAAAATGGTGTTGCTATGGGTTTACCAGTTTCTCCAATAGTTTCTGATCTTTTTATGAATAGATTCGAAGATAACATCTTTTCAAGCATACTCACTCCTAAAATATGATCAAGATATGTAGATGATAATTTTGCAGTGCTAAAAGGAGATCTACACAATTCACTCCTGGAAAAAATAAATTGTGTATCTCCCAGAATCCAGTTCACTTCGGAAGCAGAATCAGACGTCGGTGAACAACCATTTCTAGACTTCCTAGTTAAGAGAAGGGAAAACGGACATTTTAGTATATCCATATTCAGGAAGAAAACCCACTCCAATAAATATTTACACTTCAAATCACCACACCCCTTCAGCGCAAAGATTTCAGTTGTTTCAAGTCTTCTTAGACGAGCACACTCTCTGATAACAGATGCGAAAGAAAAAGAGAAAGAAATATAAAAAATTACTGAAACTCTCAATCAAAATAACTACCCAAAGAAATTCATCAACAAAATCAACACTGACATTAAGTATGGTCGAAAACGTATTCCGGAAACATGGATGTCAACGGTTATCATTCCATATAGAGAGAAGACATCAGACGATATCAGAAGACTACTCAATAGACTCGACGTGAGAGTTTTCTTCAAAAGATCAGACACACTGCGAAACAACGTTTTCCATATAAAACACCAAGTCCCCAAAGATTCTCTATCTAATTGTGCCTATAAAATAAAATGCTTGCTTGGAATGTGACGCGATATACATCGGACAAACATCGCCAGAGAGAAATCAAAATCAGAAGAAATGAACACCGTAGAGCATCTCTTCGACCACCGGGAAATCCAGTTGAACTAGTAAAGCATCAAAAATCATCAGCCGTAGCTCGTCTACATGCTATAGAATCAGGCCACAAAATTGATTTTGACTACATTGAAGTAATCCAAAAAAATTTCACAAATCACAAAGAACATCTGATATCAGATGCACTTCATATCAAGTCGGATCCAAATTGCCTGAATAGGAGTTATGGACTAAAACAGAATCTGACTTGGTTACAACACCTCCCTCCCCTCCCCAGCGAAGTGACAAAATCAACACGAATGTTATAAGCAAGTTCACTATGTAAACACACACTGTTTTTATAATTTTACACACTGATCAAATCCAACAATCTACACTTGGTTTTGTTATCTTTACCAATTGACCAATTTGACAACGAAGAAAGCCCCAGACTGATGAACGATGATCAAGTTAGTAAACTTTATTTTGATATCATAACAGACTTACTGTTACCTTTGTTATTTGGTTCAGTGATCTTCATTGTTATTTTGACTTACAATATATCCCCTTAACTTGACCTAAGTCTATTTTCTCACCTCTTAACTCTCTGTTACATATATATGCTGAGATTTTGTAAATTCCGTTTTAATAATACTTTGATAAAGCTATTAGCATTGAATAGCGAAACGTCAGTGAAAACAACGATGTCGTTTTGTTTTTCATTCATTGAGAAATAAAAAACCCTTTTATTATAATGAATATCATAACCCAATGCCCAATTTTTTTCAAGCTGTTAGTGTGGACACCTCAAAGATATCTGAAGTGTAACTTGGTGTTATTTGTTTGATGATGTTTAGAAGCGGACTTCATTTTATTTCAAGTGCTCGTAGTGCACCTTCCATGGAACTAAAATAAACCTGAGGCTAAAATTAACAGATCACACGGAACAAACTTAATATTAACTAAACGTTTCTTTTGATTTATACTGTGTGCGCGTTGGTTGAAGTCTTCACCTTAAGGCAAACGAATATTTCACCAAACAGGGTCGAAGAAGAATTAGTTTTTGTCGAGAAATGCCTAAGGGAAAATGGATACCCTAAGGGATTTATACAGAAGTATAGCAGAGAAAAAGATGAGAAAGAAAAGCATCCAACTGTAGAAAAGAAAAGTGTTTATTTGTCTACCATACAAAGGAGATGCAGTGTCACAAAGGATTGAAAGGTGCAATAAATAGAAGCTTCCCAGCAGCAAAACTCATAACAGTATACAGCACCACTCCTTCTTTAATCCACTCAAAACTGGATAAATACCCTGCTGATGTCATCTCCAACTGCGTTTATGAATTCACGTGCACTTGCGGGAGCAAGTACATTGGAAGGACAGAAAGAAGGGCTTCTATCCGGTTTTCTGAACATATTCCCAAAAACCTGTGCCTGAAAGGAAGCAGATATTCCCAGAGTGCAATTACCAGACACATTGTTGATACCGGACATCTCGTAGAGATTTCTAAGTCCTTCAAAATATTAAATAGACAAAGGACAGCAAATTTACTACGATTTGCCGGAGCAATCGCAATCAAACGACTTAAACCAGACTTATGCATACAGAAAGAGAGTGTGATTAACCTCTCACTGCCTTGGTAACAGAATTTTGATTTGGATTAGTCATCCAATTCAGTGATCTCAACTCACTAAACAAATCTTAATCTCATAAACTGTAACCGCTTTTGTTTTTTGAGTTGCTATGTGAACCTACAAGCTAATGCTGTTCTGTTAATCAATTTTTCTGTTTTCTGTCTTACCTCTCACCCCTCTTTTCAACTTTAAAAGCGTATAAATTGATGATGAAAACTTAAACTAAAAAGATTGTAATGCTTTCATTTAGATGCGTGAATTTTATAGTATCTCTTCTCTACCACCACTCAAACATTAAAGTATGTTATTATCATCTATATAACCATTGTAATTTCAGGTAGTCTGCAGATGATGTGAACCTGTGAAATAGAATGATATCATTTTATACTGCAAATTTCGTCTTCCTTTCTTTATCGAAATATTATTTTTAAAATTTTCCTACTGTTTGTAAAACTGTTTTGTATTTTCCAACTAAGTACACTTATAAGGGTAGTCATTTATGGTAAGGATTCACAGAAGTCAAAGATTAGATATTAAATTCTCTTATCAACCAAAATTACAAAATTCTATTCTGAGGGGATCACCGACTTTCACTCAACTGATAAATACTGGTAAATAATGATTTAACCTTGATCTTCATAACAATACAAAATTATGCGTCGAAATAATTTAGCTTCCTAAAATTTGAAGTCCTCTTTTAAGATGCAAAGTCCTTCCGTTGATCTTATTCTGATAACCTTGATTTCTCGTCCCATATCACCTATTAATAAACTGATTTTTAGGTGACATGTTTCAATCTACAAGTGTTTACACATGAAACATTTATTTAATGCTGGACCCAAGTTTTACTGGGAAAATTATCCACCACTCACAGAAGACGCAGACATCTCTGGTTGACGAGTCCAAAGTAGGACAAAACCCGAGTACTGGATTCCGCTGCCAGCCACTACCAGCCAAATAACTCTACATTGACTCGGAAGCTATCGTCGAACCACTCGTACCTGGAGTCCACATGTCAACAAAGAGTTAAAACATTTCAGTTCAATATAATCAATCAATCAATGGGGAAATTCAAGATGATTCCAGTTAATAAACAATGGCTTACCTTACCATGTTCTCCAGCTCCTATTCGACGTGGCTTAATTATCGGTTTGTAGTTTAGATTATCAGCAAAATCATACCATTTATCACTTTGTGATTTTGATTTCTCTGCAATACTCAATGCTTCTGGTGTTCGTAGTCGTAACTGTCGTTTTTGATCGCTGCTGGTTTCATCGTTTGGATCTTCACCATTCCCACCACCACAGTCAGTTCGACTACTTGCAAATCCACTTATTTCAGCTGTAGTTAAGTGCTTTTTATTACGATTAGCTATCTCGACTGCATCGAGTCGTACACGTGGTCTTGGCGGTGTTTCACAATAATCTGCTGTATGCGCAAACCATAATCCAGGCGTTCCATTGTTTTTAATTAAATTATCATGGGCTGCAGAAAATGTATCTGTCATCAACATTTTTCTTATAAGAGAATTGATGAGTATACGATTGATTTAAAATAAATAAGTTGTTTTCTCAATATTTGTTTATCTTTCTTTACTGCATTTTGGAGAAGAGAATGGTTGTTTTTTTTTGTTATAACTAAGCAACCCTTTATTGGTGATTTGCTGTTATCTTTTTTTTGCATATCGTTAATTTATTTTAACCAATCATAATTCAAGTAAATAATGGTTGGTATAGTGATAGTAAACTGTGCAAATTTGTAAATAGGCTTTAGAGTTTGTAGGTGAAATAGACCAATATGATCTTAGTTTTTGGACAGAAATCACAAATAAGTTGGTATACATAGAATATCGATGAAGGTATATAAAAGAGAGGAGTAAATTAGTGTGTCAATAGTAATTACGAAGTAGTCTTAAAAATGGAGTACTACTTTCCTTTAGAGTTCTCTGGACTACTTAAAAAAGACTATATCATACTGCTGAAGGTACTAAAGGTTGTCAGTGGGTACATTGGTATGCCATTTAGTTAGCTCGTTACTACTGTTGTTAATAGACACCTGAACTCTTGTTAAAAATGGTTCAAATCCATACTGTCTGACTTTCAGCATCCCGCCAATTCTCAACTCCCTCCTTGCATCTCATCAGGTAGGACTAGAAGTCATTATAAAAGTCAAGAAACGCCAACAACTCTCTGAAAAGGTCCATATACAAAAAGCCTACATGGAATGGACAATTCATCGACATTCAAAGCTTCGTGCCCCTAAGCAGAAAGAGAAACCTGATATTCGCTCTTTCCTCAAGGATTCGGAAGATATGCAGCGAGGAAGTGGTTGAAGAAGAACTGTAATCTTCAAGAAACCCTGATGGAAAACAGTTTCCCGCCCAGGTTCATAGACAAGAATCGCAAATCTAAGAAGACTTCCGAACAAGTCTAATCCGTTTCAAAGAAAATACTTCTGCTTAATCTAGAATTCAAAGGTGACATTGAAGCAGAAATCCTCCGCATACGCCTCTCCAAATCGCTAGAGAAAACATACTTCACCGCGAGCCTACGACTAACGTTTCCCTGCAAAAACTGTTCAGCCAGAACACGAAAGACAACGTGCATATACCAGTTTACTTGCTCTTGTGGAGCTGAGTACATCGACCGTACCATGCGCCGACTTGAAAAACGCGCTCGTGAACACTACCCAGCCTGGTTAGTAAAAGGAGACCAAAAGCGTGTATACAGTTCAGTGACAGAACATCTGGTCAATTCAGGACATTCAGCGCCTTTCGAAAAATCCTTCAAAGTAATATACAAGATCCAATCAAATCTATCAAAGGGAGTGAAATCAAGACATCTGGGCATAGTCGAGGCGCTAGCTTTGCAAAAGCTCAAACCCACTCTTTGTATGCAAACGAAATACGTCCAACCCCTGTGGAGTACGTAACAATGTGATTGTACACTTTTTGGTTATTTGTATAAATTCGAGATATTGTACATAATTTTTGTTTAAAACGCTTCTTGTTGAAATATACATAACTTCCGTGGACAATTGAAAAATACACTCTGCTGTTGGAGACTTCGTCTTCTCCCTGGTCACTTCTGCTTACTTGCTCCACTCACACCGTGTTGTATACTTCGGATTTATTGTAGGAGCCTACTACTCTCAACCGAAGACATTTCTACAACCGGAACACAGCAGCTACAGCAGACGCAGTCCAAACAATTAACGTGCCCGTGGATTATATAATTAATTTGTAGCCGAGGACTTAGACTTTATATCCAAGTAATCCTTTTTTGTTGCTATAACTCGTCACTGTATTTTTGGTAATATATTGTGATTTAACACTCCACTTACTTGGATTATTACTTTTATATTTGGAATGTTAGTGAACTCTAATATCAGTCCCCTACACCCCTGTCCCTGCCATGGCCATCATAAACAGTCGCTATTTTAGTAATTAAAATCCCATCGCCTTTCTCATCTAAACTTTCTGTCTATTCAAGTTATTTTAAGTTTTTCTTAATCCCTGTTTACACTACCATATTTTCATACCCGAACTTCGTGTTTATTTTGTCATTTTACTATTTCTACATATTTAATCCCGGATTGCATAAACAGTTATTCATCACATTAGTTTTTATCCAAACATCCTGTCTATTTTGTTATTTCTACATTTCTCACCCCTAATTGCACAATGTCAATCGTCCTAGTTACTATGATGCTACTTTGTTTGTTTTATCCGTCTCCCTGTGTATTATGGCATTCGAATTCCTAATTGTAATTTCTACTGATTTGACCCTTAACCGGAAATTATTCTGGAACTTTCCTATCCATTTGATATAAATGCACGAATGTACAGCCTAGATGATGACTTCGTCGAAAAGAAAATTTTCTTCTCTGCCGTTGTCTTCATAATAACTCCTATGACCCAATGTGTATATTCCGTCATTATAAAAGACTATATACGCTGAGGAAACCATCAAGTGACATCACTAGAAAGCCCTCGAGTGGAACCGAAAGGGAGGCGGCGAGTTGGTCGTCCAAGGGACTTGGAGGGTCATGCGAGGAGGAGATGAAAGCATGGGACAGACTGGAGCAGGGTGAAAAAGTTGTCAGAAAACCGAAGGCAATGGAGGTGCGCAGCTGAAGCCCTATGTTCCTCTAGGAACTAACAATAATAAATAATATTCTCGTAAAACTAAGTACAGAAACTCAACGGTGCCATATTTAGTACAGTGTGTGTCTTGTGTGATAGAGGTAAAGCTGGGCGCAAAACCTACAACCTACTCTGTTATTAGCAAAATAATACCCTTTTATTCTCCCCTCTATTTGTAATCAATGGTGACACTACTTTACTTAATCTAACATTTTAGCTATTAACATTATTGTCATTATTTTACACTTCCAATACATTTTTGACTTGACTGTCGCTGTTAACACCAACGGAAGGTGCTATTATCGATCCTGTTATATTATTTTTTGATGCTTGTTTTTGGTGTTGTCGAGTAAATTAGATGCAATCTTGTATCAAATGCTGAAAATTCCACCCCTGTGTCATAACTACTGTCTCGGAATAAAGCATATTATTACTGTTGATAATACTTGCATGATAGGGAGTTGAAGAGTGTTTATTGCAAAAAAACTGATAATGAAATAAGCAATTGTACATTGATCAACAAAATTTCTCTTTGGTGTACTCAACAGTACACTGTTGAACGGTGTAGAATAGAACAGACAGTTGAAATATTCCTAATGGCATTCTCACCTTCACACTGTATTGACCAGTTGTTTTATCCTAGCTTGAGAGTCTTCAAAACTTCATTCTCTCAACCTGATATGAGATTCATCGCAGAATTGTGATGTCTGTTACTAGGCCTTTTATTATTTATTTAATGAACTGAAGTTGAATGGCTCATATTTTCGAGAAGCATTCAACGTGAATAGTCACTATTACTCAATGTCTTCAGTGACTGAATAATGGCAAACATTCCAGTCGTCACCAGTTACAGTGTTCTTGAACACTTACGGCTAAGTAGTCACAAAATAGAACCATTCATTTGTCCATTTCTCACCAAGTTTATATCAGTGAATTGTAAAACCTGACTTTAAACTTTATGAATTATCTGTAAAATTCAAAACTGAATGGATTTTGTTTGTTCAAGTAAATGCTAACAGGTTATTGTGCTTAAGCGAACGCTTACATAGGCCGTAAGACAAAAGCAATAAAAATTTCCAATGGTATCTCTTCTTAATATTCTAAATGGATCGAACCCTTAAATAATAGTTTACCACTACCTTAGTCTGGTGTTCTGATTACATAAAAAAAATAACTGATATGAATTATAACAAGCAACTGAAAATCAATGGTCCCTCTCAGTCTGTCAGTTCTGCAGTAACAGTATTGTTGATGGATGAACATGCAGTGCATGCTAGCAAAATGAACCAAGGGTTAAAATTAATAGATTGAACTGAATCAACTTAAAAAATTAATCAAGTGAATGTCTAGCCTCTCTGCAGGTGATTTAGGTGTTTTGTATTATGTTATGAACAGGTACACATCCGACCGGATTCAACTAACATTTTGCACTTCCTCTTTGTGCTGACAGCATGTACATTCTCCTTTCACGTATTTCAGCCGTACTAGCTCGATAAGTTCTAAGATCATTTCCCTAAATAACTTGAATACTTTATTCTATTTAAATATACCACTCATCAGAATACATTACAAAGTAAATGAGTCTTTTCGATTAGCGTTTTGTTATCGGTGCCTACAAGTCAGACATCATACTGATCCGATGGTAATCAGGCGTATTTACGTTTAGTAAGGCTGGCATAGTGTAGAATATCAACATCACAATCAGTAACTTACGAACACAAGAAATAAAAATCCAGCACTCCCCTGATTAAAGTCATCTATTTTCATGAAACTGCTATCAAACTCACAGATATGAAATCTGAAATTTCCTGCAGGTTACTTTTTAGGCGAAGTAGAACAATTTCGAGCTTATCGTCACTTCTGTTGTATGTATGTAAAATTGTATAGTAACAGAGAGAACTTAGTGATAATGAAGTTGTTTTCAATAATGAAGAATCGTTCACAATTAGCCCTCGAATACTGTTGAACACTAAATAATTGTCACCAATATTCTTCTAAGTGATTTATGTACAAGATTAGAGGAAGACAGAAGAAACTTTTTCCACAGAAACTACTCAGTAGGCATTAGACTGATTCTATGCTTATTCATGCCTATAAACATATATATATATATCTCATACATTTATTCCCCTTAATGAATTTGAACAAAGCAAGAACTACAGTTTTAGTAGAATAAAATGGTACCATCTTTTATTTCGTTGCCTTCTCGTCAGCTGCAGCGATGATCAACAGAAGGCTGAGTACATCACTAGCCACAGCGTATCCTGCAGCTAAGCTCGTTCCCATCTATCGAACAACTTGCTCTTTGGTGCAATCAAAAATCGATAGATATCCTTCTCATGTTACCTCCAACTGTGTATACAAATTTACATGTATCTGCGGGAGCAGTTACATTGGAAGGACAGAAAGAAGGGCATATCTACGATTTTCTGAACATGTACCAAAAAGCTTACGTCTAAAGGGAACAAATGCTTTAAACAGTGCCATCACCAGGCATCTCCTCGACACGGGTC